TCCGAGATTCAATAATAGTATTTACATGCATTTCGAAATGTTCTGATTTATGAATAAAAAACCGATATGCACTACTATTCTTGGCATAACCAATGAAAATACAATCAACGGTTTTAAAACCTATCTTAGTCTTTTTAGGATTAGGAATAACAACTTTAGCCAAATACCCCCACACTTTTAAGTATTTATAGTACTCTCACATGCCACAATTCATAAGGTGTTTGATGCACTTTCTTTCGGGGTACTTTATTTAGTATATAATTAGCAAAAACTATTATTTTTCTCCACAAGTTCTGAGGTAATTCAGAACTTATTAGCATGCCATTCATCATTTCTTTTAAAGTCCTATTTTTCCTTTCGGCAATTCCATTTTGCTAAGGTGAGTAAGGAGTAATGGTTTGATGAATTATTCCATATTCTTTACAAAACTCACCAAAAGGTGATTCATATTCACCACCTCTATCATTTCTAAATTTCTTAATTTTCTTATCAAGTTGATTTTCAACTTCATTCTTGTATTGAATGAAAGTTTTCAAAGTTTCATTTTTGGTTCAAATTAAATAAACAAAACTATGTCTAGTATAGTCATCTATGAAAGTGATAAAATATTTTTTTCCCACATCTAGTTTGAATTGATTTAAAATCACAAATGTCACTATGAATTAATTCAAGTGGGTCAGTACTTCTTTCAATTGAATGAAAATGATGTCCATATAAAATTTTATAATGGATGGATAATCATTTGGTAAAATAATTTCCTGGTTCTTTAATAGATGTCCATATAAAATTTTAATTATTCAACGCATCATTGTTTTCAGAGTACTGAGAAAATTGACGCTTCTATACTGCTGTTGTAGGAACACATTATCAACGTGAAATGTGGAGAATGTTTTTTCAAGTATATCCTTTTTAGTAATTTTTTCTCCATATAATTTTTATTGAGAGATAATTTTAAATAAAGCAGAGTTGTACTCATTAACTGATTTATAATCTTGCAACCTCAGGTGCAACCAATCATAACGAGCTCTTGGGAGGATTACGGTCTTCTGGTGCTTGTATCTCTCATTCAAATTATTCCACAACATAAGTGGATCTTTTACCGTGAGGTTTTCAATTTTTAATTCTTGTTGGAGAGGGTGGCAAATGAATATCATTGCCTTCGCGATCCTATAGGAATGCTTTATTTTCATTCTTTATGGTATCTCCAAGATTCATTGTCCCAAGGTAAATCTCAACATCCAGAATCCAAGATTGTAGACACCCTATTTTTGACTACCTTTAAGACTTGGACGTGATTGATGGTTCACTGGGTGGAGAAAGGTGTGCAGGGGAAAGGTGCAATTTCTTCGACAAAGAGAGAATCAAATCTCAACTTCATACCCCTGTTCTGGACCAAAACAATCTTGATCAAAAGATTTTAGTCTTAAAACCCTCTCTCTCAAAAACGTTTTTGAAATAAAGTTCCTACGATGTTCTGACGCTCGCATTTTGTTAAAAGTTGCGCTTTTCGGTAAACCGAGTAAGGACAAAGTGGAATTGAATGAAGGAGAGATGAAATCTTTGAAAAATCTTTCAAAATTCCTTACTTAGGGGTTTGAAGTTGAACAATGTAAAACATAGATGAGAGTCCAAATCTGACAACTTTTATAGAAAATCCATTTTATTGCAAAACCTTTGCCAGAAATAGACTACGTCATCAGATCTCAGAGTCGCCACCTAATATTTTGGAAAAATTAGAAAACCGGTGACTTGTGCTGTGATAATATAATATAATGATACACCGGGGTTTAACTAGCGAATACATATCATTTTTAAGCACAAAATACAGATAATTACACTAAAAGAAAAAATTAGTTACAGATAAAATTCTTCAAGTCTTTAAATACAGATTAGTTCCTTGATACAAAAAGATTATCCAAAATACAAGAAATATAAAATCTAATCTCTAAGGCATCCATGGTTCTGCAAAGCTTTTAGGGGTTCTGTTCTCGATGTAAAACTCGCCTTCACCTGGCATAAAATGCCATGAGCTTGGAATTAGGGGTGTTCACGGATCGGTTTTGTGCAGTTTGCGGTTTGGTTTTGACCTACCTGCATTTATGCGGTTTGGGAAAAAGTCAACCCGCAACCGCTCGTAGTGCAGTTTGCGGTTTGTGCGGATAGGGTTTGCAGATGTGTAGGCGGTTGCGGGTGATTTGCGGTTTACACTTTTTTCTTTAAAAATTGATTTTTGAGTTTTTTTTTCCGCATCGAATTTAGGCATCAGATTCATTTTATATATTTGTGATCATTTGACAATAATTTTCTGATGAGTTTACAAATAAAAATTGAATATCAATGCATTAAATGAAAGTACCCAAAACAAAGAGACCCTACACTAGCATTTTTGCCTTGAAAAAAAAATATATCAATGCATTAAAAAATGTATATCAATGCATTAAAGGTTGTATTCAATTAAAATTGCCAGTTCAGTAATCAATAATCAAACTAGAAGCTCCATCGACCACCAGAAGGAAAATTTTATTAGGAAAAAGTGGATGAGTCACCAATGAAAATCATATAAGAAACCAAGTTTAGAACTTGATAATTCTACGGCATTAAGAAAGTTAAGAAATACTTAAAAATAAGGATCCTAGTATCATAGAGAACATAATGCTGCTCCTGTTAAAGTTACAAAGTTGGTATATAAATAATAATAATAATAATAATTAAAGTGCGGGCGGTTTTTGCGGGTTGCGGGTTTAACCCGCGACCTGCCCGCAACCCACAAATTTGTCATATTTCAAACCGTATCCGCCCGCATTATGTTTGTAAAACCGGCCATTTATATGCGAGTTGGGTGGTTTGAGCGGTTCGGATAAACCGTTGCCCACTCCTACTTGGAATGCCCAGTAAACACACACACCCCGATCCTTTTCCCATTCCAAATACACATGTAACATAACGGCATGATCATAACATGCAGCGAAAGTAATAATTAAGCAGAGCTTATAATTAAATTTTAGTTCTCATGAATAATAGTCAATTTTAGTTAAAATATAGCACCCAGATTAAGATTTTGACATGAAATTGGACTTAAGATTATTTTTCTGGAATTTTATAAAAATAGAGAAAGTTGACTGTTTTTCTGGTTCTGGGAGTAACAATCTTAGAAAAATTGTTGAGGTTATAAAAATTCATCCTTAGGTCCTACCAAAATTATAACATACTCTAGACATACCAAATATTACACTCTAAAAACAGATTTCGAGTTCATGGAGTTTTGATAGGAAAATAAATTCAAGAGGGGGAAAAGATTTGCTGCTGGAAATTTAAGAAAGAAAAATAAGCATACAATTTCTTGATTAATACACATTTATACAAGAGTATAGGACTAGACTACAACATATATATACAAACAGCATGTATTAGGAAGGGAAAAACAAGTGGTAAAAGAACTTGAGAGAAGAGGTAATGTATGTTTACCGTTGTTGTACAAGACTCAACAAAATTCTTCTTTTTCTTCTTCTTTTCTCTCTCTCTCTCTCTCTCTCTCTCTCTCTCTCTCTCTCTCTCTTTTCCAAGATCACTCTCTCTCACTCCTCTAGTGTATGGCTGAAAAATGTGTAAAATGAGGGGGAGAAGTGTGCATATATAAAGAAAGGAATGGAAGGTTTTTTAAGGACTAAGTTTTCTAAATGCAAATTGTCAAAGTTGCTATTATGGCCCTTTCATCCATCACATGGTCAACAACTTGGGCTCCAAGACATATATATATATATATATAAGATATTTGTATGAGATATTTGTGTTTATAAGCATAATACAATAGGCACAAGTACATTAATTATTAAAATATTACAATTAAGGATTAAAATGAAATAAAATAAAAGTATATAGGGACCAAGTCTAAATTTATGAAATCTTGATATATGTTACTAATATACTAACATTAGAAAATAGTTAGAATAATAAATTTGGGTCCCGTTAAATTAAAGCGCAAACAAAGGCGAGAAACCGAGCAAAAACGGTATTACTGAAAATTAAGATTTTAAAGTGATTAATCTATAATTATAGGGTCTAATAATTAATAATAGGGTTTTAAACATGATTATTAATCTACGGGATCGATTAGAGTTTACTCGAATTAATTCGTGATACTTCCTGATTCTAGGGCTTAAAATGCAATTAAGTGAAAATTCAAGGGCTTTATTGAAATAAACTCAAGGTTAGGGATTTAATGGTAATTACAAAAATTAGGGTCTCTACACGTGCCAAGGCCACTATTCGTCGTAACCAAAGATGTCTCGATTCGGACCCATAGGTATGAGAAGGGAAGATCTTTAAATAAGCACCCATGCTCACCCAATCAAAGATCGGGCTTTACTAAATCATGATATGAATTTTATTTACTTTATATATTCATGTTCTGATTATTTAAAAAAACCTAAAATTTACTATGTGAAACATATAAGCATAAACTATGTCATTCATTTTAGAATAACTTGATGTCATGTATTTAAAAGAGTTTTGAAGATGTACAATTCAAAAAAATTGAGTTTACAAACATAAAAAATGAACATCATTCCAAATTAAGCAACACAACCTCCACCCACTGACATTCATAGAGTTATATCAAATAAGCAAATAGCCTCATAGTAGAATGCTAAACATAGTAAGGAAAACACAAACAAGCGGGATACTGAAGCATAAAAACTCACATATTTACCGACGTTTCATTAATAACTACAAAACAAAATTAGGAAATATACATGATCTTATATACAAAATCCTAATGCAATTCACTAATGAGATGCAATTAAAGATTCGGCTTCTAATATATGACATGTGAATCATCTCAAGAATATGAGGTAGTGTACATAATCACATAAGAATTAATTAAATCTATAAATGCAAATTTAACTGAATTAAGATGCATAAATCATGGATACAAAGCATGAATACGATAAAAAGTAAAATATGATGCATATTTATAAATAAGAAAAACAAGTAAAAGAACGGGATAGAAAGAAGCGGGGTGAGTTATTACAACACTTTGAATAATTATATATCCGAATAAGGGAGGACAGGAAGAAAATATTACAACAAAATAAAACCTCACAAATCTATCAAATTAAAATAAAAATAGAAACTTCATGTGCTTTAGAGACCACCGGAAACTTCTCTGCTCGTCAACGAAAGACTACATGATTTTGTCTAAAAGAAATTGGTCGGCCGACCAAAAACTTAGTTGACTGGCCAACAAGGCTTGGCAAAAACCTTTTTTGCTGCAACACCAAAAAAGAACAAGCAGGGAATATATGGGTGGCTCAACTAACCACTTCTAGTTAGGTTACAACAAGTTTATAATATAAAATTAAAGCAAGAAAATTGATATAAGAAAGAAAATGAAAATTCACCTTTCAAGGAAATGATAAACTTCTTGATTTCCAAACTTCCTTTTGGTCACCCTCAAGGTTGTGAATTATGTTCTTAATCCTCAATTTGAAAACTTCAGATTATTGCTAGAATGGTGACTCGGATTGTTTAACAGTCTGTGTAGGGGAAACTAATTAGCTCTCTGATTTTCTTACTTTCAACCACAATCACTCTCTCTTTGATCAAGACTCTATAATCTAATTATAATGAATTTTTGGATCATTTTGGTAATGAAGAATGAGCTATAACAGTGTATAGCTTCAAGAATGGAAGTTTTGGCCAATTTTTCAATCAAACAAGACTTCTCTCTTTCTCTCTATCTCTTTCTTAATCAGTCTCTCTCTAGTTTCAACAATCTGATCTCCTCGTTCTCCAACCATTTGATCTTCTTTGTATGGCCAATGGAGGAAAACTTAATAGAGGATATGGTAGGAGACAAAGTGGAAGACAATGGATCATGGAGAATAAAGAAAGATGATGTGTTGTTGTTTTAACTCCTCTTTTTGTGAAGAGGCCAGCTATATTGATAAGAATCGTGAACGACTTGGATACTCAGTGAATGGTACTAGTAATAAAGGTTTTGCATGAATATAGCCGAAGTCTTTCAAAATCAAAACATGCCAAACCATGCGATTATTAGCCGAGATCTTTTCAAAGCAAAACACATCAAAACTTTATCAAGCAAGAGATGAACCGTATTCATCTATTAAGTCTTACAAGTCTCAAGGGATGCTTACTGGCATCGGCAAAACACAAATCAAGCTTTCCGAACAACAGATCCACGCGGTAAACCGTCAGTGGCAAAACAAAGGCTGTACGATCCGTAATCGATTAGTCAAAGGTACTGCGAAAGTTTATAGTCCTCCAGCACAAGGGACTTGTGTTACTTAAGCCCGTAGCCCTTTTTAACACGATGGTCTTGTGTTACTTAGGCCCGTAGCCCGCTTTAACACGATAGTCTTTCCAAGAAAGGACCGTATCCTTTTATACTTAGTGCTGCGAAAGTTTAGAGTCCTCCAGCACAAGGGACTTTTATACTTGGTACTGCGAAAGTTTAGAGTCCTCCAGTACAAGGGACTTTTCAAGAATGACATCAAAACAAAGCTTATACTTGATACATCAAAACAGAGCTATTCATTCATGCTTAACAAATACTTTCGTCAAAACAAAGCAAAGCAAGATTTATCAAAACAGTATAACATAGCTTTATTAAAAATACCACTCACATAGATCTCCTCGGGTGTAGGCTCAAAGCAAAGATCAAGGACCTACAATCACATGGCAATCACATTCTCAAAACAAGCTTTACATGCATGCAAATGATCCCGGCATTCTCACCAGATCCAAGTCAATGACAAAGCGAAACATGCTGGGAGTTTAAACACTGCTCCCGTCCCATGAAAACACACTGGGTACTAACCAGGTCTTTGCTGAGGTCCCACACTTCCTTGCCGAGGTGTGGTCCCGTTGGCCTCATTCAAAAGCAAAGTCGAGAAAACCTGGGTTTCCCTTTGGAGAACATGAGGAACATGATGAACATGATCATGAGGAAGATAAATGTAAGTTCATAATTTGTTACAAAAATCTAAGATTTCATGCCATGAGTTCAAAACATGGACCTGGGTACCCATACAAGAAGGTCATACAAGAACAAACACAAAAACATGGTTCTTGTTCCAAACTTTCAGATCAAAACGAGACTTTCTTCAAGAACACATGAAAACCATTTTCCCTTTCCAAAACCAACTTCAAATCGATGCATGACATGCAAGACAGATTCGATCATGCAATGCAGCTAGATGATCAATGAGAACAACAAGAGTAGGTTAAGATTCAAACCTCAAAACTCGAATCCAACGGTTCAAACCTCGAAGATCAAGCTTGGAAGATTTACTCTCACTCAAGAACTTCTCTTCCTCCTCTCTAGAGCTTCTCTCTCTAAAAACAAAGATTGAGACCAAAAATGATTTGTTTCAAGGTCTGCCGGTTGCCTTAACAATCAGCTCGGACACGTGGCGTTATCGGGTTGGTTCAGCTCAAAAAGGTGATTGATAGATAAGACCGGTCTCTGACAAAGCGTATGCAGCAAGCTCGGCAAGATACATCGGCAAGAAATGACATTGGCTCAAATCAAGGATCCGGCAACAGGACAACAAAACATCGGCTAAGGAGGACGACACTTGACCAAGCTGTGCCATACCTTGGCCGGGGCGTGCCACATCTCGGCCTAGGCCATACCTGCCTGCAGACAAGGTTCACTGAGTGCAAAACATCTCGGCAATAAATGCCCGAGGTGAAGGTGGGGGTCGACCAAGGTCTCAAAACAGTTCTAAGTACAAGGGTTCAAAGGTGAACTAAGCTCAAGGCGACCTCGGCCACACACACACACACACACTAAGCAAAGAACAAAATCATGCAAGCAACTTTAAGCAAATCAAGGCAAGACAAAACCTTCAAATTAACATAACAAAGCAAGATCATGCAAGAATGTATGCAAGTATGACAAGAGTAAGGTGAGGGTTGTTACATCCTACCCCCCTTAAAGAAGTTTGGTCCCCAAACTTAGATTACCTTGCTCCTCGAACAACTCCGGATAACGGATTCTCACATCCTCTTCCTTTTCCCACGTGGCGTCTGTGCCATAATGTTCCTTCCATTCGACCTTTACCATTGGTATCGATTTGTTTCTCAACTGTCTCACTTGTCCCCACGTGGCTTCTGTGCCATAATGTTCCTTCCACTCGATCTTTACCATCGGTATCGATTTGTTTCTCAACTGCCTCACTTGTCTGTCAATAATCCTTATTGGCTTCTCCTCGTAGCCCAAATCCTCATTAACTGTAATCCCGAAATGATCAATTATCTGCAGTGGATCTCGGATGTACTTTCTTAACATCGAAACATGAAACACATTGTGGACTTGGCTCAAATCTGGCGGCAAAGCAAGTCTGTAGGCAACGGGGTTAATTCTCTCAAGAATTTCAAACGGTCCAATATACCGGGGTGCAAGTTTACCCTTCTGCCCAAATCTCGAAACTCCGGTCATCGGCGAGACCTTCAAAAATACATGATCCCCAATTTCAAATTCTAACTCCCTCCTTCTTTGGTCGGCATAAC